CAGTTGAGGGTTGAGGGTTGAGGGCTTTGGAAGTATATACAAGGACACCAACGCGTCTTACATGGATGCCCACTTCTTCCACAATGGTAATACCCAGTCAACTCCATAATGGCTTGCAGTAGTTGGGGACCCAATCAACCCCAAAAGGGTTGATGGTTCACATATGACATACCTTAAAAAGGATTTGTAGTAGTATAGGGTCAATGACCACAATTATCGGCTTCATTTGGTCGTCAAGGGTCCCGAGTTAGCTCCTCGATGGTACTAGCAGCCCCTACTAGTGCTGCAAAAAGGATGCCCTGAACGCCCTGGCAGTCCCTAATAACCCTAAGCCCTCAACCCTAAACCCTAAACCCTCTGGATTTGCGAGCTGAGACCAGGAAGGGCAGCGAGTGGCAGCGTGCGTTGATGTTCCTCAACGCGTTGCCGAAAGCGCAGTTGAAACCAGGCAGTCCCTTTGGAATGTGTTCTCTTCCCCTGCTCTTAAACCCATATGTTCCCTAAACCCGAAACCCTAAACCCTAAACCCACTAAGAATTCATGTTTGTTCAGACGGTTTCATGGGGCCCATCCGAGGACTGGAGATGCCATCAGCTTCGCGTCAGCCTGCAGCGCCTGTGAGAAGGGCTTGCAGTGGCCTGGTAATCCTGTGGTACCCTTTCGCCCCACCTTTTTTTGGTTTAGGGTTCAGGGTTCAGGGTTCAGGGTTTAGGGTTTAGGGTTTAGGGTTTAGGGTTGAGTATTGCAAGATGGTGGCTTGGCTACCAAGGTGGCAGCTTGCACTGGAACTCTTCCACATGATGCCACCTGCCAGAGTGCAGCATGATGCCGTGGCCTTCAACTCCATCATTAGCACCTGCAACTGGGCCATTGTTGAAAATCATGGGTTTGGGGTTTGGGGTTTAGGGTTTAGGGTTTAGGGTTTGAATTTTTACATTTATGAATACTTAAACCCAGTAAAGGAACAAGAATGAATATGTTTGAATCGTAGCCTCCACGATGGCGCAGGCAAGGGGAGCCATGAGTGGGAGATGTCCCTGCAAGTCTTTCACGCGATGCCGTCGTTCCGCGTTACCAGCGACAGCATCAGCTACAGCTCCACCATGACTGCCTGCAAAGACAGCGAGCAACTTAGGGATTCTGAGGAATACTGTTGTTATTGTTCTTTTGGGGCACTGAAATTCCTAAGAAACAGAGCTGAAATTATATGTTTTGCTAGGCTTCCAAGTTCAGTATAGGCAGTGGGAGGTTGCCTTGCAACTCTTTGATGCCATGCCCCGGGCCATGATCCGTCCCGACACCTCCACCTACATAGCTGCACTGAGCTCCATCGAGCCTTGGTAGTCTAGGACCCCGAGTCGGCCTTTTTTTTTTTTGTTTTGAGGGTTGGGGTTCCCTTATAATCCCCTTAAAACCAAAAAAGGTGCCCTTCTTATTCCTAGGTGAATCTCGGGTCTGTAGTAGAGAAGATAACCTTGAACCTTTTTTGGGGGGTATTAGAATCCCTGAAAAGAATCCCCAAGGTGAACCAAACCCTTAACCCGAAACCCTAAACCCGAAACCCCGAACCCAAACCCTAAACCCCCAACCCCCAAACCCTAAACCCTAACCCCTATACCCTAAACCCTAAACCCTAAACCGAGTTTTTTAGGCTAATGGACAACTCAGGAGAAAAGCCAACACTGGCAGCTGGCCCTGGAGGTCATGCAGAGCATGACCGAGCAGAAGATCACGATGAACTTGCAAGTGCACAACACCCTGATCCTTGTTTGGGGTTCAGGGTTTAGGGTTTAGGGTTCATGAACTCTAATATTTGGGATCACACCGGAATATACCCCCTCCCCCCTACTACCACCATTCCCCCTATCATAATTGGGGAATTCGGACCCGAAGCGCTGAACCCTAAACCCTTTGAGGGCTCATTTAGGGTTCAGGGTTTAGGGTTTAGGGTTTAGGGTTTGTCCTCAAGGATTGCTGCCTGCAACGCTGAGTGGCAGCTGGCGCTGTTCTTTCTGGAGGAGATGAGAGGAGTGATGGTAACTCCGGACATTGTAAGCCACTGGGTTCATGCCCCTGGAAGGTTTGGTCTTGGTTATTTCTTTTCTTGGCTTGAAGAGGATCAAATCCCAGACCACTGGGAGGATCCAAAACGTAGAGCCCCCGAATAGTACCCTATACTACTATAGGGTTATTCTTGTGAACCCTTAAGGGGGTCTGGGAGTAGGAAGATAAGCTGAAAGGCTGAAAGGCCCGACCTAGGCTACACTGCCGCCCTGGGCGGCCTGGAGAAAGTTGGAGGATGGCAGGGCGCGTTGCAGCTTCTCAGTGGGATGCTCGCATGTGACCAGGCACGCCCTTGGCATGTTCATTTTTTCTTTTGTTGGGTTTAACTTTGTGGTACTTTACTGCAACTTTAGATCTTTATCCTTTTTGGGTTGATTGGGTTTGATAATGAGCCAGCTAAACGTTTGATTTTTAGCTACCCTCCTGAGTGCAGCCAAGTTAAGACTAGGATGCCCAGTAGTACCCTTATGCCCTTTTTGGGGGCTTAGGTTCCCTTATGAACCCCTTTAAGCAAAAAAGGGCACCCTTTTTAAGCCTAGGTTACTGGGCAGCCTAGTAGAGCATCATGTTGAGGAGCATGTTTCCCTTTATCCTTTGGGTTCAACAGGATCCTCTTATTGGGTTTCAGAGGAGTCATCTCTAGGAATTCTTTTACCCTAAACCCTGAACCCTAAACCCTGAACCCTAAACCCTAAACCCAAACCCTAAACCCTAAACCCTAAACCCTAGACCCTAAACCCTAAACCCTAAACCCTAAACCCTTCAGGAATCTGTTACAGAGTTTTTGTTGGGGCCATCCGAGGTGCCGTGACCCCAAATGGCTTCAGCTACGATGTCAGTATTCGGTCTTGCATTCGGGATGGTGCTTGGGAGATTGCTGCGAATCTCTTCAGAACCATGGAAGTTGCTGCGATCTCACCCAGCAGTTTCAGCCACAATGCCGTCATAAAAGCTTGCGAAACTGCCGGGCAGTGGGAGTGGGCTCTACATTGTTTTGACGGCATGCGCCGGGCGCAAGGCTCTGCCGACTTAGTCGCGTACAACAGCATGCTGCATGCCTTCATGAGATGGGGGAGCTGGACACAGTCCCTCGCACTTTTTCACGATATGCTGGAATCAGAGGTCCAGGGGGACTCTCTGACGTACTACGCCCTCTGCAACTCCGTGGAGAATGCGGACGTCGCACGCACACTCTTTAATCACGCCATGAGAAGAGGCTTGTTCCCACTAAAGAACTAAATTCTGCGGTTGGTTCGTGGGAATGGGGGAATAAGGGACCCTATATATATATATATATACTCCCTCATCAAGAGTATATATAGGGCCTTATTCCCTCATTCCCTGCCAACCAACAGTAAGAATAGCTTGGGCGTCCCTGTTGGCGAGGCTCGTCGTTTCGCGTGGAGACGTTTTCTCCTCGTGTTGAGAGGCATTTTATCAGTTCTGCTGCAAAGTGCGCTGGCAAAAGGATGTGCTGCTTCGGGGGCACCAGTGAAGGGTTTAAACCCTAAACAGTAAACCCTAAACCCTAAACCCTAAACCCTAAACCCTAAGCCAGTGCGGAGGGCAGGATGTAATTCTGCATGAGGCTGCCATTTGGCCAGTTGAGCCTTGGGTCGGGAACTCGATCAGAAGACTTGACTCGTAACTGTTTAAGAACCCCCCCCCAACAAAAAAATGAAGATGTTCTCTCGTAAGGGTAGTATAGGGATTAGGATTTTTGTTTTATTCTTTTGGGGCTCTTCAGCAAATAGTAAACGAGCCGACCCGAGCTGACAGCTCTTGGCTGTTCTGGCTAAGTCCTAAGCTTCCTAAACCCTCCAACCCCTTGACTCCTAGATTTCCCAAATTTTAGGGTTTAGGGCTTAGGGCTTAGGGCTTAGGTTCAAACATGACGCCTAGACTTTCCCAAAATTTAGGGTTTAGGGTTGAGGGCTTAGGGCTTAGGTTCAAACATGACGCATAATCTAGGGGTCGGAATAAGTACGAATCGTCTCTTTAAAAGTTAGACTATAAAAACCCCCAAAACCCTATGCTAGTTTTATGGCCCCTATACACAGTAAGCCAGCACAAGAGGGACACACACACACACACACACACCCAAAAACAAAACTAGCTTGGAAGGAAGCGACTTGCAGGCTTTCCAGCTTTGTACCCTAAACCCTAAACCCTAAACCCTAAACCCTAAACCCTAAACCCGGGGGAGCTCAAGACCCCGTGTTCAAGGAAAAGACTCCTTTCCAAACAAAGATCCCAAGTTGGCTCCATGGGTATGTTTTCGGTTGCGGGTGTAGGCCCAAGACGCGGCTTCCCTCGCAAGCTTGGACCCTTTGCGGGTTTGTCTAATATTTGCTTAAGAACCCCCCCCAAAAAAATGAAAATCCTATATTGCCCTCCTAAGGAAGAATATGATTGTTTTTTTTGGGGGGAGAGTGTTATACTTAAGCAAATATGATCTCTATTAAGGACTGCTAGTAAAAGGGGGAACATCCCAAGTTCAGAGTTTCGGGTTCAGGATCTCAGTGGAGTGTTCCAGGGTGACCTGAACTCCCCGAAACTTTGAAACTTGATACCCGCAACCTGAAGCTGGAAATTCCAGCCCCGAACCCTAAACCCTAAACCCCAAACCCTAAACCCTAAACCCTTGTGAGTTCGTATTAATTCAGTCCTACGTAGTTTGTCTCCAAGGAGCTTCTTCGAGACAGTCCGCAAGACCGCATGCCTAAACCCTAAACCCTAAACCCTAAACCCTAAACCCTAAACCCTAAACCCTAAACCCTAAACCCTAAACCCTAAACCCTAAACCCTAAACCCTAACCCTAAACCCTAAACCCTAAACCCTAAACCCTAAACCCTAAACCCTAAACCCTAAACCCTAAACCCTAAACCCTGTGGATCCGAAGCCCTCAAAACGCGGACACCCCAAGCAGCTCGAGGTGCTCCGCTCGAAGGGAATAGGCATCCTGGCCCGTCGCACTTGCCCCGAGATTGCAGATGTAAGGGTTTAGGGTTTAGGGTTTAGGGTTTGGGGTTTGGGGTTTAGGGTTTAGGGTTAGGGGTTAGGGTTTGGGGTTTCGGGTTTCGGGTTAGGGTTTAGGGTTTAGGGGTTTAGGGTTTAGGGTTTAGGGTTGAGGGTTGAGGATGTAGGGTTATGGTTTTAGGGTTTAGGGCCAGGGTTTGGGGATTTGTGTGTTGGGTGCAAGTTTTGGGGCTTCGGGCCTTTGGGTTTAGTTTGCAGGAAATTATGGTTTAGGGTTGGGGTCTAGGGGTTAAGGGTTGATGAGGGTGCATAGGGGCACTTGGTTGAATGATTTTGCAGCGTCCACAGTATTGTGTTCAGGGATCTCTTCCTAAGGGACATATTTTCACGGAACCCCGAAACCCCCCAAACAGGCCCAAACCCCTCCAGAACCCTCAGAAACAAACCACCCTAAACCCTCATCCCTAAACCCTAAAACCCAAAAAAACTCAAACCCTACCTAAACCAAAAATGGCCAAAACAGTTCGAGAGGAATCCTCACCGAAGGCCATAGGTCCCAGGACCCTGGGCTTTGGAGAGTTTCTAAACCCATCTAAGCCCTAAGGGGCGTTCGTGGCAAAAAGGCTTCAGCGGCATTCTGAGTCCAACATTGCCCACCCTTCCTACCCACAACTTGTGCACTAAATGTTGTTCCTACGCCGCTTGGCGCTTAGGGTGTAGGGTTTAGGGTTTAGGGTTTAGGGTTTAGGGTTTAGGGTTTGGGGTTCCTGCGCTGTCAAGTTTTCCTCGAGCCCCCAAGCGGCCTCTCCTGTTGACACCCCCCATGAAGCGCCTAAACCCTAGACCCCTTATCCCAGCTAAGCTAGCTGCTTTGGGGGCCTACCTCAATCCCTAAACCCGAAACCCCTAAACCCTAGACCCTAAACCCCTAAACCCTGCAGCAATCCTCCAGGCTCGACCATCTCTTATTCCGCTGGTTCCGGCTGGAAGACCCGAAGGCTGGAAGGATAAAGGATTTGGGGTCTAGGGTTTCAGGGTTTAGGGTATAGGGTTTAGGGTATAGGGTTTAGGGTTTAGGGGGTTTCGGGTTTAGGGTTTAGGGTTTAGGGCGTTTAGGAAGGGTCTACAGGGTTCTGGGCTTCGGCTCTAGGCGTTGAGGGCCGATCTTGCACTAATCACTGGGCGCTGTTTCTGGCCACCTCATTCTGGGAGGTTCCTGCCCAGTGCCAAACCCTAAACCCTAGACTCCTAAGAGTGTGTGTGTGGGCGTGTGTGTGTGTGTGTGTGTGTGTGTGTGTGTGTGTGTGTGTGTGTGTGTGTGTGTGAGTGTGTGTGAGTGTGTGAGTGTGTGAGTGTGAGTGTGAGTGTGAGTGTGAGTGTGTGTGTGTGTGTGTGTGTCCAGAGGGTCCCTTTCTTAGTAGCTGAATGAGTACACTTTACACATCTTGGGATACTATAACCCCCTATAGAAGTGAAAGTGCACACTTTCTTTGGGGCCTATGAACTCAGCAACTAAGCTTTGCAGTATGCAAGTGCCGAAATAAGGCACCGAAAAACCATACTCAATTGCGGATTTTGCTGCCTCATTCCATAGCGGTACTACAAGATGATGTCTGCGCGTTTGGAAGTCCAGGTGACGGGCTGTTTGGCCCAAAGCCCGAAGCCCTAAGCCCTAAGCCCTAAACCCTAAACCCTAAGCCCTAAACCCTAAACCCTGGTGTCAGTTAGTTCCTGAGCGAACTTTGTTGAGGTCTGTATAGGGTTTGGGGCTGTCATCATGGGTTTTGCGTGCAGGGAATGGGTTCTCTATGGCATGGTTCGTGGAGTTGCGCCACTGAAGGGTTTTGACCTTCAGTGACCAGGAGAACCCCCCAACCCTAAGACCTAAAACTGAAACCATAAACTTGGGTCACCTGAAGAAAATCACAATTTCTCGGTGGCTAAGGGTACTGTGAGCCCGGCCACCTTTTTTTCGATGCTTTGTGGTGTTTCAAGCTGTGTAGGTCCCACAGCACCACCTGAGCTCGAAAGCGCGTAGAACTCCTGTGGTCACTTCACTAAGTTGTGGGCCCTGTTGGCGTTACGATGATTGAGCCTACGCAAAAGGGGACCTCAATTTCGAGAACTGACCATGTCATCCAGGCCTGCTGATGAACTCCTTACCCTGAATACCATGAAACCTGAACTTGGGACACCCCTACAACCCGAACCCAAAGCTGCTATTTAGGGTTTAGGGTTTAGGGTTTCGGGTTTCGGGTTTAGGGTTTAGGGTTTAGGGTTTAGGGTTTAGAGCTTAGGGTTTAGGGTTTAAGCCTGACAAGGCGGCAGGGAATGCCGACGCAGACAAGGCGCCACAAAGAGTCTTGCAGTCGACCCCTCATCGGGCTTGACTCGTGGCTTAGGCGGTTTAAGGGTAGGGCGTTGAGAGTTTAGGGTTTTGGGTTTTAGTGCCTCGGGCTTTAGAGCATTCAGTTAGGGCTTCAACTCCGGAAAGTTCTATCTCCAGGAGTATGTAATGCCCTACCCTAAACCCTAAACCCTAAACCCTAAACCCTAGACCTTAAACCCTAAACCCTAAACCCTAAACCCTAAACCCTAAACCCTAAACCCTAAACCCTAAACCCTAAACCCTAAACCCTAAACCCTAAACCCTAAACCCTAAACCTAACCCTAAACCCTAAACCCTAAACCCTAAACCCTAAACCCTAAACCCTAAACCCTAAACCCTAAACCCTAAACCCTAAACCCTAAACCCTAAACCCTAAACCCTACCTTAGATGCTAAGCTGCTGAACCCAAAGCCGTCCTGACCCTAGCCTCGCCGCGATGCGCTTCCTGCAGACCCTGTCTCTCTCCAACAGCATGACTACTATTTGCTTGAGAACCCCCCAAAAGAACAAAACAAACCATAATCCCTATGTTGCCCTTCATAAGGAAGCATGTTTGTGTTATTTTGTGTTTTCGGGATTCTTAAGCAACTCGTAGATGTGCAGCAATCCCGGAAACGGCAGATCAATCTGCAAATGCTAGCACGTTTGCTTCAGAGTCATGAAGCCCTGCAGACCCCAAACCCTACACCTACATCCCTGCACTCGCCTAAACCAGAACCCCCGTAAACCCTCAACCTAAAATCTCTGTCCGAACCTGAACACCCTCCAACCCTGGAACCCGAAGACTCTAACCCTAACGCAACATACCCTGAACCTTAGAACCCTAAACCCCAAACCCCAAATCCTAAACCCTAAACCCCAAATCCTAAACCCTAAACCCAAACCCCAAATCCTAAACCCTAAACCCCCAACCCTAAACCCCAACCCCAAACCCCAAATCCTAAACCCTAAACCCCAAACCCTTGACCCCAAACCCCAAACCCTAAACCCCAAACCCCAAATCCTAAACCCCAAACCCTAAACCCTAAACCCCAAACCCCAAACCCTAAACCCCAAACCCTAAATCCTAAACCCCAAACCCTAAACCCTAAACCCCAAATCCTAAACCCTAAACCCTAAACCCCAAATCCTAAACCCTAAACCCTAAACCCCGTTTAGGGCAAACTCAAAGGGCCCGGGACTTGGCGATGACCTCAGACACCTTGGCCGCCTGGCAAAGCGCGGGGGCCCAGAAGTGAAGAGGGTTTAGGGTTTAGGGTTTAGGGTTTATGGTTTATGGTTTAGGGTTTAGGGTTCCGGGTTTAGGGTCCCGGGTTCAGGCTTTAGGGTTCAGGTTTTGGAGTTTAGAGGGGCTTCAGGGTTTAGGCTGCATGTTTATAGGGTTCCGGGTTCAGGGTTTAGCGTTCAGGGTTTCGGGTTTGGGTCTGGGGGGTTCAGGCTGCATGTTGAATGCGCCCAGTAGTGCCCTTGTTCCCCTTTCTTGGGATGTAGGCTCCTAGGTTGCTGGGGAACCTGGACGTGGATTTTCGGGTTCATGTCCTTGATTGGTTTAGAGTGGGGCCTGAGGTTTTTTGGGACTTAGGTTTGTTTTTGGTGGTCGCGGTGTCGGTGGGCTTCAGTTTAGCGTTATTGTTGTCTTAGATACGGGGGTTGCGCAGTTTGGGTTTTGGCCTGAGGATACGAAGATTCGGGTTTTCGGGTTTCGGCATATAAATATTCTATAAACCTACTATAACTTATTGATGTTTTGAGAATGTATAAAGTATGTTTTCATACTCCCTTCAACCCTACGTACTGCAGTCCCATCCTTCATGAGGCCGGAACCCGACGTTGACACGACATCCTGCTGCTCTGAATTCCCTCAAAGAGAACTAAAACCCCAGACGTTGTTCATAATATATTCATTAAACAATTCATGCATAGATATATATATATATATAGACATATATATATATATATATATGGGTGTGTAGGGATGCATATCCATCCATTTATATATCTTTCCTATAAATATATATATATATATATATATATATATTTATATTTATATTTTCCACCTTGCCGCCACCTGAAGAACGATCCTGTGAGTTCTAGTCGTTGAAACCCGAAAGAAGCCCTACACACCTCACACCAGCCAAAACAAATCATTCTACAGGATTAAACACCTCTAGACATGCAACCCTTCAATCGCTCGAAAGCCTATGAGGCCTAAAGCGAGAACGCTTGTGGCAGGCACGAGTGGCCTTCCGTGACCCTGGGGATATCGTTTCTTCTTGTTGCGGCTGGCATCCGCACTGTGATTCCGCAGGCAGGGTTTAGGGTTTAGGGTTTAGGGTTTAGGGTTTCGGGTTTCGGGTTTCGGGTTTAGGGTTTAGGGTTTAGGGTTTAGGGTTTAGGGTTTAGGGACCCCAGGAGATGGAGATGTCACGCTTGGCAATGAGAGGGCTTAGGATTCAAGGGTTTAGGGTTTAGGGTTCAGGGTTTAGGGCTTACATGGGTTCAGGGCTGGGCTTACAAGGGGGTAGGGTTCAGGGCTTACGAAAATGTGTGATGATAAGGTTATGTAAGGAGGTGACACAAGATCAGGTGTAGGCGCACCCTTGAATTTTGCCCGGCGCCCCACATGAGCTCTTAAGATCCACTAGCCTGAAGCAGGAGAACGTCACGATCAAAACCCTAAGCCCTAAACCCCAAACCCTAAACGCTAAACTCTAAACCCTAAGTCGACATTGCCTGTATAAGAAATGCTTAAACCCCAAACCCCAAACCCCAAACCCTAAACTCCCTAAACCCTAAACACCCTACACCGTAAACCCTAAACCTTAAGCCCTAAACCCTAGATACCTGGTGGTGGCTCTATCGGCTTGGAGATCTCTCGGGGGAGCCATGGGATGCCAATCTTCGCGAATTCCGGGTGCCAGAGTGGGAGGTTAGGGCTTCGGGTTTTAGGGTTTAGGTTTTAGGGGTTTAGGGTTCTAGGGGTTTAAGGTTTTAGGGTTTAGGAATTGGGGCAGCCACCACTACCCAGTATTAGAGTTTAGGGCTTTCATGTCTTAAGGATTTAGGGTTTAGGGCTCAGGGTTTTAGGTTTTACGATTTTTGGGTTTAGGCTCTCAGGGTTGTAAGTTTTTTAGAGCTTCAGTTTTCTCTGGTTTTAAGGTTTCAGGGCTTGAAGGTTTTAGTTTCTAGGCTGTTGGGCTTGTGCAAGGCGAATGGGGGGGAGTTTAGGGTTTAGGGTTTAGGGCTCAATGCCCGACCTGCAGGTTGCCCAAAGCGTTCTTGAGGTTGTCGGTTCGAGGGATTCGGTTTTCAGGCTCAGGTGGCACGGTTCAAGGTACCCTGAACCCTAAACCCTAAACCCTAAACCCTAAACCCTAAACCCTAAACCCTCAGTGACAGGGGGTGTTGTGGAGTTAAAGCAGCGCAGCCCCACGAGGCTGTAGCTTCCACGCTGATCGTGGCCTTGAAGCCCTCCGAGGCGCGCCGTAGTGCTTAGGGCTTAACCCTAAACCCTAAACCCTAAACCCTAAACCCTAAACCCTAAACCCTAAACCCTAAACTTTTTAGGGCTTAGGGTTGAGGGTTGAGGGTCCTGGGTAGAGAGTTTGGGGTTTAGGGTATAGGTTTCAGGGTTCAGCCTGAAACCCTAAACCCTAAACCCCACAGGCTGCGGCCAGCGCCGAGGGACAGCGACTTGCATTGATGCGACCTGGGCTGCATGTTGGCGACTTTGGGTTTAGGGTTGAGGGTCTAGGGTTTAGGGTCCAGGGTTCAGGGTTTAGGGTTTAGTAGGGTTTAGTAGAGTTTAGTAGAGTTTAGTAGGGTTTAGTAGGGTTTAGTAGGGTTTAGTAGGGTTTAGTAGGGTTTAGTAGGGTTTAGTAGGGTTTAGGGTTCAGGGATTTTAACCTACTGGTTCTTAGTAGAGAATGAGGGAATGAGGAACCCCATATCATCTCTTAAGGGGTATATACAGGGGATCTACCTGGTTCTCTCATTCTCTACTAAAGAACCAGTAGGTTACGCCCTTGAGCTGTTGTTGAGTCGTGAGGGTTTAGGCTTTACGTCTTCGGGCGCAAGGGCTCTTATGAGTCTTGGGGCTTTGGGGTTGATCCGAAGGCCCTAAGAAGGCCCTGAGGATTTCTTTTCTTGTCCGAGGGTTGTTTTCCAAACTAGGAATAGAAATGGCGAAGGGTCTAGGGCTCCTGACCAAAAAAGCCCTGAATCTCTGTCTTTCTCTCCTTCTCTCCTTCTCCCACCCTCCCTCCCTCCCTCCTCCTTCTGCCTGTCCGCGCTCGCTCTCTCTCTCTCTCTCTCTCTCCCTCTCTCTCCCGCCGTTTCTCTCTACATAGATTTATATATACATATATACATACATACACTATGTATACACACACACACACTTTTTGTCCATGCATACATATACATAGATATACATACACACATACATACAATATGTACATATATATATATGTATACATATACATATACATATGCATATACACATACACATACGCATACGCATACATATACATATACATATACATATACATATACATATTCATATACATATACATATACATATACATATGCATATGCATATCCATATACATATACATATACATATACATATACATATACATATACGTATACGTATACGTATACGTATACGTATACGTATACATACATACATACATACATACATACATACATACATACATACATACATACATACATACATACACACCCACATATATAGATATACATATATATATAGAGAGAGAGGGAGAAAAAAAAACACAGAGAGAGAGAGAGAGAGAGAGTGTGTGTGTGTGTGTGTGTGCCTGCGCCTCCTTGAGTTCGGCGTGGGGGGGGGATGTTCTGCTCAGAGCAGGGCTTGGGTGTTTCGGTCTTGTGTTTTCCGGGGTTCAGGGTTTAGGGTTTAGGGCTAGGCTTCTGTGTTTGCATCTAGGTTTGTCTGCTAGAATCAGGGTTTTTGTTCAAGGGTTTATGGGGTTTGAGGTCGTGGCGACGTGGCGCAACGGGGCAGAGGTGAGTTCAGCAACAGCTAGACCACGGGCTGGTCACCTAGGAATGTCAACCCTGGCTGGCCCTTTCCCAAATTTTGAACTGCAAGCTCGAATCCCGCATTTAGGAGCGAACCCTTTAGCAACCCTGAATGCCTAAAACTTCCTTCGACAAAGAGAGTCAGAGAGAGAGAGAGAGAGAGAGAGAGAGGGAGGGAGAGGGAGGGAGTGAGAGATAGAGCGAGAGACAACAAAATTATCGCATTGAGAGAGAGAGAGAGAGAACAAAAGCCAGAGAAAGTAACGGCACCCGATATACGGCCTTCACGTCAGAGAAACAACAAGAGAGAGAGAGAGAGAGAGAGCGAGAGAGTTAGAGAGTTAGCTAAAGGGAGAGTGCGCAGAGAGAGAAGGAAAGAGAAAGATACAAAAAAAACACAATAAAACCCTAAACCCTAAACCCTAATAAATAGCATCTGGGTATACTGCTTTCACGCCAACTCCCCGAAGCCGAGGACGGCTAAGCCCACAAATCCCACGAAAACCCCCTAAAGCAAAACCCGAAGCCTTAAACCCTAAACCCTAAACCCTAAACCCTAAACCCTAAACCCTACTGTAACCCCTAGAAAAGCCGAGGAAGGCGGCCAAGCGTTTGGGCGTCCTCGCTTTCGGATACGGGCTCTTCAGTGGACTCAGAGGTTTAGTCATGCCGGGGTCCCAGAAAAGGGTTTAGGGTTTAGGGTTTAGGTTAGGGTTTAGGGTTTAGGGTTTAGGGTTCAGGGTTCAGGGTTCAGGGTCCTTGGGCCCTGCATGTGGCTTCGTAGGGTTCGGGGTGTTTTTGTGATAGGGATGGTTTCGGATTCAGCTTTTGTTTTTGGCTTTATGTAGGATTTAGGGCTGTGGATATGGTTCTCGTGTTGTGGATTCAGGTTACGTGTCCTGAAGCCGTGCGCATGCTGACAGCAATTGGGGTCATCCATTTTCCCACAGTGCTCAAAACATGACTACTTGTTCTTGTTTTGGGGGGGCTTACATAGTTGTGATGGCCTGGGGGCAGTTTTCCTAAATCCAGAGAACCCGAAGTCCAGATAGGCCAAAGTAGGACTTGTTTGTATATTTGGGGGTCTAGGGAAGGTCTTTAAGACACCCCTCGGGAACTCAATACGACCCCTCCCGAATATAAAGATGAGAAAGCTTTCCAGCCCAAAAAGTTGACATGGGAAGCCAACAAATTGGACACACAGATTTCGCTTTGGTTCCTCTTACAGAGGGTCCGTTTGTCGTACTCTTCATGGAACTAGGCATCTAGTGTGGTTTTTGGGGTACCCAGAACCAAATAGTATTACAAATGGATCCTCTGGTTTGATGCAAATCACGTGAGGGTCCTCGGTTACATTCGGACAGAAATTAGTCGCAGAGCTCGGTCCATGAGAGCAGGACGTACGTGTACGAGATTTAGGGTTTAGGGTTTAGGATATCTTAGTAGCTGAATGAGTACACTTTACACTTTTTGGGATACTATCATCCCCTAGAGAACTGAAAGTGTACACTTTTGGGGGGGGCTTATGAACTCAGCAACTAAGATTTAGGGTTTCGGGTTTGGGTTCATCTTACTTGGTCACAGCCACAAGGCCAGCTTCCGCAGTCCTACAAGCCCTAAACCTAAACCCGAGAAGCCTGAACCCCCCAACTCGAATAACAACCACCACAGCTCTAGCAAATCCGACAGCCGAAAACCACAAACCCTGAAGCTAAAATTGAGTTGGCACACCGGTGTTATACGTAGTAGGCAATTTATTTTCCTGATCGCGGTAGCTGGTAACTTAGTTTGCCATGGCAACTTAATGAGGGCAGTTCTCCTTTCTTTAAGTTTCCTTTTTGGGTCCCATATCTAGTGCTGCACCCTTCAACAGCAGGGCCCCAAAATGGACCCTCAATTTAGAGAACTACCCGACACGAACCTAGATGAGACAGGTCGATTGCCGAGAACCGGTTACTCCTTCGTTTGCGCAGGCCGGCCTAGAAGGTTCGCAAGGAATTGGGTTTGGGGTTTTGTGGTGTGCGCGTTTAGGGGTTTAGGGTTTACGATTTAGTGGTTTTTGCGGTATGAGGTTTGTGGCCAAAGGTTCGGGGTTTTGGGTGCCTTTTTTGCAGGAAGCACTTAGGCGTGTGCGCACGCATAGAGCTAGTGGAAGCGCATGAGGAGTCCTGAAGCACTTCTTTAGAAGAGACCTGGGCTGAAAGTTGCGCGTAGGCATTGTAGGAGTTCTGGCTCAGGGCTTACAGGGTTTACCGGGCCAGGGGGTGTAGGGTTTAGGGTTTAGGGTTTAGGGTTTAGGGTTTAGGGTTTAGGGTTTAGGGTTTGGGGATTTCGAGTTTCGGGTGTAAGGTTCGAGCAGCGTGGAGGGATGCCAAGTTCAAGTCCACAGCCAGCGTGGTGGTCTGGATCTGCGAGACTTGTAGTGCCTAAACCCAACCTGTTTGGGGTCACCCTAAACCCTAAACCCTAAACCCTAAACCCTAAACCCTATACATCCTCAACTCGACACCCTTAAGGTTCAGGGTATCAAGTGCCTACGCAAGGCACGTGTAGACATGTCCAAGAATCGGCTCTGTCCTTGGGTTCTTGTAAAGGAGCTTAAGGTCATAAGTTACCTGGGCTTTAGGGTTTAGGGTGTAGGGTTTGGGGTTTAATCGGTATACAGGAGGATGCATGGTACCTACTTCCCTACTTACCTACGAAGACCCAGCAAGTAGATGAGCAGACCCTGAACCCTAAACCCTAAACCCTAAACCCTAAACCCTAAACCCTAAACCTCTCTTTCATATATAATTTAAATGTTAAGGAGTTACTGGGCAAGGTCATTTGTTTACTGGGCAAGGTCATTTTTTTACTGGGCAAGGTCTTTTTTTTAGCTGGGCAAGGTCATTTTTTTACTGGGCAAGGTCGTTTCGTCAAAAAAAAACGACCTTGCCCAGTAAAAAAATGACCTTGCCCAGCAAAAAAATGACCTTGCCCAGTAAAAATGTTACTGGGCAAGGTCATCTTTTTACTGGGCAAGGTCATCTTTTTACTGGGCAAGGTCATCTTTTTACTGGGCAAGGTCATCTTTTTACTGGGCAAGGTCATTTTTTTACTGGGCAAGGTCATTTTTTTACTGGGCAAGGTCATTTTTTTACTGGGCAAGGTCATTACTGGGCAAGGTCATTTTTTTACTGGGCAAGGTCATTTTTTACTGGGCAAGGTCATTTTTTTTATTGGGCAAGGTCATTTTTTTTCTGGGCAAGGTCATTTTTTTACTGGGCAAGGTCGTTTTTTTACTGGGCAAGGTCATTTTTTTACTGGGCAAGGTCATTTTTTTCTGGGCAAGGCCATTTTTTACTGGGCAAGGTCATTACTGGGCAAGGTCATTTTTTTATTGGGCAAGGTCATTTTTTACTGGGCAAGGTCATTACTGGGCAAGGTCATTTTTTAACTGGGCAAAGTCATTTTTTTACTGGGCAAGGTCATTTTTTTACTGGGCAAGGTCATTTTTTTACTGGGCAAGGTCATTTTCTTACTGGGCAAGGTCATTTTTTTCTGGGCAAGGTCATTTTTTTACTGGGCAAGGTCATTTTTTTACTGGGCAAGGTCATCTTTTTACTGGGCAAGGTCATTACTGGGCAAGGTCATTTTTTACTGGGCAAGGTCATTTTTTTACTGGCAAGGTCATTTTTTTACCGGGCCAGGTCATTTTTTTACTGGGCTAGGTCATTTTTTACTGGGCAAGGTCGTTTCGTCCAAAGGTGTTTAGGATTTCCGGGCCTAATGGTTAGGGTTTCAAGGCCTCACGGCCTGGTGTTTAGGGTTTCAGGGCCTCAAGGCCTGCTGTTTAGGGTTTCACGGCCTCACGGCCTAGTATTTGGGTTTCAGGGTTTCAGGGCCTCAAGGCCTAGTGTTTAGGGCTTCAGGGCCTCAAGGCCTGGTGTTTAGGGTTTCAAGGCCTCAAGGCCGGGTGTGGCTTGTGTTAAGTGCTTGGTACTACGGCGTGATTGGTGCATCCGAAGAAAAAATAAGTAACCTTCTATTTTCTTAATGTTATGGGATTCTTTGGGCGGGTGGGTTTTTTTCCGTTGCCTAGATACACTGCTGGCCTTGTAAATGCTCGAACTTGAGATGCTGAACCCTAAGCCCTAAACCCCAAACCCCAAACCCTAAACCCTAAACCCTAAACCCTAAACCCTAAAGAGCCTTAACAGGCAAACTTTCTCACGAGTCCTGCAGCAAGACATCGCCTTCCACGATCAGCGTGAAGTGCAGTCCTGAGCGCAGTGGTGGGGTTTCATGGGGTTTATGGGGTTTAGGGTTAGGGTTTAAGGTTTAGGTTTAGGGTTGTAGGTTTCTGGGTTTCTGGGTTGTGGGGTTTAGGGTTAGGGTCGAGGGGTTAGTGGGGTTACTGATTAGGGGCCGTCTGGAACAGACAAAATATGTTCTGCAATCGACATCTTTTGCAAGCAACAATTGTGTGCGAAGGGAGCACTGGTGGTCAGTCTAGGTCAACTTTGAAGAGGGGCATAGAGCGGCAAATGACGGTGAAGGGTTATGAGTGCCCTGAACAAGGGATACCATGGTTACCCTACTTGTAGCCCTGCTTATAAGTAACCACCAACCTCCAAGTAGTCCGAGCTTCTTGCAGACACCCTTGCTAGTAAACCGGAGCTTGGCCATAAACTTCCCGCATTCCTGATCCTTGCTGTCTGCGGTTGAGTGCTTCTCAGCTTACTGGCTAGTGTGCCTAGTGTGCCGCTCCAACGTCAGTAGCCATGCACATAGCAAAACAGAAGCCCCCAAAACTCCAAACCCCAAACTGCCCCAAACCCTAACCCTAAACCTTCAGCCACCGGGTGTGCTTCAGAACATCTCCCGAATTGGAGTGCCGGATCCTGGACGCAATAGGGGATGAGGGTACCGCGCAGCAGGCCATCAAAGGCCTCGAAGGACTCGAATTCTTCGGCTGCTCTTGGCCCCCAAGACAAGTCTCTGTCAGCGCGCGTCGTAGGCCCCAAAATCCTCAGGCTTTGTAGAAACAGTGGTTTGGGTTCAGGGTTTAGGGTCTAGGGTGTAGGGTTCAGGGTTCAGGGTTCAGGGTTCAGGGTTCAGGGTTTAGGGTTTAGGGTTTAGGGTTTAGGGTTTAGGGTTTAGGGTTTAGGGTTTAGGGTTTAGGGTTTAGGGTTTAGGGTTTAGGGACCCTAAACCCCGAACCCGCTTTCGGAAGGCCGAGGGAACCCTGAAGATCGCACCCAGGTGGGCGAGCTTACCAGCAGGCGCGTGCCACGATAGCCGAGACCCCCCCCCCGAAAAGTAGAAGATATTCTTCCTGATAAGGGTAATATAGGGATTAACATTTGTTTTTTTTTATAGTCTTTTTGGGGTTCTTAAGCAAATAGCAGGAGAGGGTTGAGGGGCTCGTGGGTTGAAGAGTTTAGGGTCTAGATGGGTTTAGGCTTTGTAGGCTTTGTACGGAGCGCGATTCTTTTCAAGCCACCCCGAAGCTCCAAAGCCTCAAGCCTGCAGCCTTGAACCCTGATATCTGCTTCTCAGGAAAGATCGGCCCCAAACCCTGAACCCTGAACCCTGAACCCTGAACCCTGAACCCCAAACCCTAAACCCTAAACCCTAAACCCTAAACCCTAAACCCCCAACTGCCTTCAACCCTGAGTTCTGCTTCTTCAAATGCAAAGTCCTGAGCCTTTCAATCCTGATGTGCTGACCTAAACCCTAAACCGCCTGTTCCCCTTCCGCCCTACACGACCCCCCCCCCCCCCCCCCCCCAGGTTCACCGTTCCGGGTTTAGGATTTCAGGTTTGAATCTTTTGGGGTTTAGGGGCCAATGAGGGGGGTTATTTAGGGTTCAGAGCGGCTGGGGAGGAATTGGAGCTTTTTGGTTGTGGGGTCGTCCGAAACCTTCTGGAAACCCCGTAAGCCAACGTCGTGCGCAGACCTGACTCCGAGGGTCTACGTTCAGTACGTGCGATACTGGCCTATGGGCAGTCAACCTACACTCAAGACCAACCCTGTACCTCAAAACCCGACACTCGGAGCCCCCTAACCACCCATTAAACCTGCTGTACTGAAGCCTTCAGGCCTTCAACTCGAAAGAACCCTAAACCCTAAACCCTAAACTCGAAAACCCTAAACTCCAAACTCTGAACTCGAAAACTCTAGACCCTAGACCCTAAACCCTAAACCCTAAACCCTAAACCCTAAACCCTAAACCCTAAATCCGACGCCCAACCCTTACATGCACTCTCGGGAGGTTGAACTCCGACTGTGAGGCTGTGGCTTCTGGCCTGGCCATGAATTTCAACATCTTCCTCAGGAGACGGGTTTAGGGTTTGGGTTTAAGGTTTAGGGTTTAGGGTTTAGGGTTTGGGGTTTGGGGTTTAGGGTTTAGGGTTTAGGGTATAGGGTTTAGGGTTTAGAGGTTTAAGGGTTTAGGGTTTCGGATTGGAGTGTCAGGGTTTGCTGCCGAGCAGAAGTAGGAATACCAGCACATACATACCTGCATAGATACATATATGTACAAATGTCCACATATACTTGTTGTTCGCCCCTTCAAATAGCCTCGGGCCTCCTGCTAAGTCGATTGGCACCAGTCATCACTGGTCAAGGCACGCAAAAGGAAGGGGAAAAGTTGCTGTTGAAGGGACATCACGTCACGAGCCTGGAGAAACATGTATCAAAAATAAGTAAATATAGATAGATTCTTAAATAAATAAATAAGTAAATCAATATAAATATAGACATATATATATATATAATATTCATGTGATCAAACACGAAATGGCACGCGAAGCTCTGAATTGAGTGAATGGCACGCCCCAGCAGGCCCCACAATCTAGCCAAACCAAACCTCCCTCCTTTGCTGTGCCGAATAGTCGAGAAGTCACTAGAGCCTGCTCTTTTCGCAGTACCACCTCCCTAAACCCTAAACCCTCAACCCTAAACCCTAAACCCCAATCCCTAAACCTATACAAGGGTATATCGTCTAGGCATATCTATTGTGACACCTGTGCAGAGGAGCTTCGTCCAGCTTGTGTACCGGACTTAAGACTGGCGTCCTTGAGTTCAAGGGATTAGTGGTTTAGGGTTTAAGGGGGAGGACCTGGTTGGGTTTAGGCTTAGGGTTTAGGGTTCAGGGTTTAGGGCCTAGGGGTTTAGGGGTTTAGGGGTTTAGGGGTTTAGGGTTCAGGGTTTAGGGCCTAGGGGTTTAGGGGTTTAGGGGTTTAGGGGTTTAGGGGTTTAGGGGTTTAGGGGTTTAGGGGTTTAGGGGTTTAGGGGTTTAGGGGTTTAGGGGTTTTAGGGGTTTTAGGGGTTTTAGGGGTTTTAGGGGTTTAGGGGTTTAGGGGTTAAGGGTTTAGGGTTAAGAGGCATTCGGGATTGGAGTTTCGTCTGAGGCATAGACCACTGATGCTAAGATTTCGGGTTTGGGGATCTTCACCTTTGTGTTTTTATGTTTACGGGGGGGGGGGGGGGTAAGGCGGGGTCTGGTAGGGTTTAGGGTGCTAGATGTTTGGCTCGAGGTCTGTGAACAGGCTGGAGCAGTCTGCAAAGCTCCACATGATGACATGGTTCGGGCAGTCGCGCGCACCCTAAACCCTAAGCCCTAAACGCTGCACCTATACCCTAAACCCTAAACCCAGACCCTGCTTGGGAGAGACCTAGCAATGGGCGGGTTGCAGCACCATGAACCCTGAACGCTAAACCCTAAACCCTAAACCCTAAACCCTAAACCCTAAACCCTAAACCCTAAACCCTAAACCCTAAACCCTGATCCCTCCTTTCAAATGATCTTGGGACGCCCAGGTTTGGCGTGTGCTACCTGACAGTTACTTCGTGGCAGCTTTCGCCAGGGCCTTGGCTTCGAGTGGCCGACCGCTTCTGGGGTTTAGGGTTTAGGGTTTAGGGTTTAGGGTTTAGGGTTTAGGGTTTAGGGTTTAGGGTTTAGGGTTTAGGGTTTAGGGTTTAGGGTTTAGGGTTCAGGGTTCAGGGTTCAGGGTTCAGGGTTTAGTTGTTAGGGTTTAGAGTTTCTCCTTTTGTTGGGCCGTTTTGAGCGAGCGAAATCAAACGGGACTCAACTCCTCGAGTCTAAGCCCTCGACCCCCGAACCCTCGGCCCTCAAACCCTAAACCCTAAACCCTAAACCCTAAACCCTAAACCCTAAACCCTAAACCCTAAACCCTAAACCCCTAACGAACAAAAACTCTACTTAGACCCTAACCCTAAAACCTCAAACCTCACCCTGACCCTAAAGTCCCAAGTCCTCAAACCTCAAACCCTAAGCAAAGAATAGCTTGTGGCCATTGTTTGAGGGTTTGGGATCTAAGGTTTAGGCTTTTAAGGTTTTGGGTTTCTGGTTTAGGCTTCGGGTGCCCGGGGGGCGGGGGCGGGGGGGGGGGGGGGTGGGGGGGGGGGGGGGGGGGGGGGGGGGTGGGGGGGGGTGGGGGGGGGGGGGGGGGCGGGGGGGGGCCTCGTGTTCCTCGTTTTCAGGATTTCGGGTTTAGGGTCGTTTAGCTTGAAGACATGTGTCGGAACAAGTTTTTGCGCACTGACTTTTCTGAATCACAAGCCTGATCGTTCATAGCATTGTTGTTGCAAGAAAACATTGCCTGGCGACCTTGACTCGGAACAACCCCCAACATGAGTCACACCACATCCCCAGCCTTTTTAGATCATCCGGTCGGAGGCTCATTTTGCTGGGCGTTTGGGCCATCCTTTTTTATGTGCTCCTTGGCTGCAGCAGGGTTGGGCTTAGCGTTTAGAGCAACCCAGAGCCTCCAAAACCCCTATGGCTGTAATTAAGGAATGTGCCTTACTTCATATGAGGGTTCCTATTAAAATTTAAGGGATACTCCTTAAATAAGGGTTTTTGGAGTCTCTGGAAAGTCCCACTCTCAAGCATCTCACACTTGAAGGTTCCTGGGTACTCCTAAGTGGGGTTAGAAGTACGTACTCTAAACAGGTTAGAGCCACAGCTACCCTTCTTATAAGCCTGCTTCTACGTAGCCATGAACCTCCAAAGAGAAGGGGCCTCGAACGGTTTCCAGGCAGCTTTGGCGTTTGTACCCTAAACCCTACACCCTAAACCCTAAACCCCAAACCCCAAACCCGAAACCCTAAACCCTAAACCCTAAACCCTGCACCCTCGGTTCGGGGTAGTTGCACGAAGCTGGCTGGATCTTCCGCCATCAGAGAAGGAGCTTCACCATAGCTGCACGCAGATCATGTCCTGGCCTCTTCTGAAGGACTGTTTCGGGTTTAGGGCTTAGGGTTTGGGGTTTAGGGTTTAGGGTTTAGGGTTTAGGGTTTAGCTGAAGGATCTTCAACTAAGTGACCAGCTACCATAGGAAATCATTCCTAGGACCCAGAGTAGGCCCTTATTTCCTCTTTCAGGCTTTGGGTTCCCCTCTTAGCCCTCTAAACCAAAAAAGGCATCCTTTCCGCTCTAAGTTACCAGTTTCCATAGCAGGGTTGCCTTATCCGTAGAGAAGAAGAAGCCACCAAACCCTAAACCCTAAACCCTAGACCCTAAACCCTAAATCGCTTAAACCTCTGGTCAATGGTAAGGGAAGCTGCAGCATTTCTGCAGCATCCAGCACGACTTTTGTGTTAACCAGACACTTAAGCCCCAAAACCCGAACCCCTAAACCCTAAACCCAAAACCCTAAACCCTGGAAATCTTGTTCCCTGGGCCCCGAATTCTAATGACGATGGGCCTTCAGCAAGAAGATGTCGGACATCAGTGAAGGGTTGAGGGCTTTGGAGCTGAGCTGCCTAGCCCTACCTGGGCTTAGGGTTTAGGGTTTAGGGTTTAGGAGTTTAGGAGTTTAGGAGTTTAGGAGTTTAGGAGTTTAGGAGTTTAGGAGTTTAGGAGTTTAGGAGTTTAGGAGTTTAGGAGTTTAGGAGTTTAGGAGTTTAGGAGTTTAGGAGTTTAGGAGTATAGGAGTTTAGGAGTTTAGGAGTTTAGGAGTTTAGGAGTTTAGGAGTTTAGGAGTTTAGGAGTTTAGGGTTACAACCCGATCTTTGGAAGGTATGCCATCTACGGCCGGTTTGCACGGCGGTCGTCGCTTCTCCGACAGGCCCCCCACACCAGCCTTGCCGTTCCACTTCTCACTCAGGGCGTAGGGCTGAGGGCTTAGGACTTGAGATTCGTTCTCGTGTGGTTTCTTCGGGCTGATGTAAGAATCCGATCGCATGGCATATCTGGCTGATCCTGCTGTTAGCACGAAAGCCTAAGCAGCACTTGAGTCAAAGTAGACGTGGGTGCAAAACAAAAGAGAAGCCTTAAACAATAATCCAAAAAAGCGGACACCTGAAGCACTGTTCAAGAGTTGGCGTATGTAGGGGTTTTTAGGGGTTTATGGATCTCAGGGTTGACAGCTTATGGTATTTAGGGGCTCCCTGCGTAGGGGTTTACGGGTTTAAGGATCTAAGGGTTTAGGGTTTATGCTTTTAGGGTTTCCCTGCACAGCCTTAACCGGAAACTTAAGACCCTAAACCCTAAACCCTGAACCCTGAACCCTGAACCCTGAAACCCCGAAAGCCCCAGCAGCCCGTGAGGACAAGCTGGCCGTGCTGAACTCCGTAGCCACCGAGGCGTCCGAAACACATTCGAGAGCTAGGGCTGCTCCCCTGAGGAGGGGTTTAGGGTTTAGGGTTTAGGGTTTAGGGTTTAGGGTTTAGGGTTTAGGGCTAGGGAATCTAAGAGCCCCGCGCCCCCCCCCCCCCCCCCCCCCCCCCCCCCCCCCTCCGCCCCAACCATAAATCAAGGATGAAGGCTCGTGCCCCTGTAGTTGTACCCTTACTCCTTGATATTACGGTTTGTTTTAAGGTACTCCTAAGAGGCCCTTATTATACCATGGGGACTTTACAAATATTTTCTTAAAAAGGCCCCAAACATGAGCGTGCCATTTCAGGGGTCCAAGGTAGCGTCCCTAGACTAAGCCCTAGCCCCAAACGCTAAAGTCTAAATCCTCAACCCTAGCCCTAAATCCTAAACCCTAAACCCTAAACCCTAAACCCTAAACCCTAAACCCCTAAACCCCTTATTCCACACAAGGCTGTAGGTTGAGAGTGGAGGTCCCACCCGTGAGCCCCTGACGCAAAGCCTCGCGTGAACCGGATTTTGGGTTGAGGGCTGAGGGTTCAGGGATGAGGGACTAGTGTTACGCATATCCTGTACACGCCCTGTCAAAACCCGACCCTAAAGCCCACACAGAATCTCTGATGTTTGCCGCGAAAGGCTCTTGAACCCATGTGGGGTGGGATTTTGGGAAGGCTCTCAAGCTCCAAAGTTCAAGCATTTACTCTGCCTCCCTACGAAGCATCTCATAATCCGATTGAGGGCCCTAGGCCCTAGTTACAAATAGGCAACCGGGGGCCCCTGAAAGAAAACCCTTCGTAGGGTAGTGCATAGGCCGCGGGCCAACCATTTTAACGCATGCATTCACACTTAGCCAGTAGTACCCTGATTGCCTACCCCAACACCCAAAACCCTCAACTCCTATAAGTTATAAGCCCTAAAGACGCAGTAGCCCTTGGAGTGTCATTCCTAGGATCCAGAGTAGGCTCTTATTCCCTGCTTTGGGGGGGGGGGGGGGTTAGGTTTCCTGATAAGCCCCTTATAAGCCAACCCCGGGCACCCTTGCTGTTCCTAGGTTACTCTTGGGTCTATTTGGGAGTTACAGCCCATTGAGAAGAATCCGGCTTCTATTCCTAGGACCAGGGCGTGAGGCTGCAAGGGCTATTGCCTGTTTAGGTTTTAGGGTTCAGGGTTTAGGGTTTAGGGTTCAGGGTTTAGGAATATCCCTAAACCCTCAACCCGAACCCTAAACCCGAAACCCTAACCCTAAACCTTAAGCCCTAAACTTAAACCCTAAGCCCTAAACAACCTGAAAACTGAAACCCGCGTGGCAGCCGATTCACGGCCTTCTTGGGTGCTCGCTTGAATGGCCGAAACCTTGTTATGCCCTCCGTCTCGACATGCCCCAGAAGGGTGTAGGGTTTAGGGTTTAGGGTTTAGGGTTTATGGTTTAGGGTTTAGGCGGAAACACAAAACCTCGCCCAGTATGGTCCAACAGCCTGAAAACATAAACGCGTGTTAAGGATGGCGGCGCAGGGGCTGAAATCTGTACCTAGGATAGATTGCCACAGGCATGCCCGAAAGAAGCAAGTCAGCAGATCAGAGATACCCTAAACCCTAAACCCTAAACCCTAAACCCTAAACCCTAAACCCTAAACCCTAAACCCTAAACCCTACTTATTCCATGCAGCTGCCATCCGAGCCCCGAAGGCTTTGGGAAACGTTCGCACTCTCCGGGCGTTTTCTGGAGAGCAGGCGATGATGAACAGGCCTTTGCATGAACGGGGGCAAGCGAGAAACACTGTCTGTGACTTGAAGGGCTTAGGTTTTGGGTTCAGAGTTTAGGGTTTAGGGTTTAGGGTTTAGGGTTTAGGGTTTAGGGTTCCTGGTGTACTTTAGACCCCCTTCGGTCCCGGCACGCTTCCTGGCTTCGCTCGGCAGAACTAGAGCATGAAGCGCCTTGAAACCAACCCTAAACCCTAAACCCTAAACCCTAAACCCTAAACCCTAAACCCTAAACCCTAAACCCTAAACCCTAAATCTCCAAACCCGAATCTGACATCGCTAAACCCTATGAGCCCTGCCTTAAGAACCCACAACCTACCTTTTGATATTTGCATACCTGAGAATCCGAAAAAGGGGGTGTGGGGCTTAGGGTTTAGGGTCTAGGGTTTAGGGTTTAGGGTTTAATTAGGGTTTAGGATTTAGGGTTTAGGGATTTGTAGGAATAACCTACCAGGAAGTAGGCTTCTGGGTTCTTAAGCTAAGCCTTGAATCCAACACATCCCAAAACACCAAGTCCTCAAGCCTCAAAGCTGCGACCGCGAAGCCTCCCCAAGGTTGGGGGATACAGAACTAGGGTTTGAGGGTTTAGGGTTTAGAGTTTAGGGTTATAGGGTTAACTACACATAGGGAATTAGGGAATCAGGTACATCTACCTCACTTCTCAAAACCCTCTACTTGGATCTTGCAAGCTTGCAGTTCATGAAATGCTAGCTATAGCGAAGGAGTCTAGCAGTATGGGGACTGTACCGGTGTGTAATCTAAGCTGCCATACCTAGAGTGACAGCTAGGGTCTTGCTATAGTTGTGGTTCTAGCTTTTAAGTACCAGAAGTTGTAGTTCCTCTACGCAAGTTTTCAGGAGGGGTGCCCGAGGAAGGTTTTAGGGGGGAGCCGAGGGATGTTCCATCGACTTTTAAGTACAGCACTGTCCCGATTCCGCCCCGATGCAAACATCTACGAAGCTGTCCCAAAAACAAGTTCGTTTCGGAAATCTGGCAGACATGTTCGATCCACCTCTCATCCGGTGCTCCAGGTACGAGCAGGAATCCTACAACCTCATCTTCCTTGAGCACCAGCGCGGTGCGGCCTATGGAATTTACGCCACCTTCTACAATGGCTTGACGGAGGGGATCAAGGCCCGCCCCACGAAGATCCGCAGCACGTGGGGGTTGAAGGTTTAGGCTCAACCCTGGTAGTGACGTGGTCCCTTTTCTAGGGTATAAAAGCGGGGCAGAAGGGTTGGCCCCTGTTTAGGGATCATGTAACTACCCGAAGAAAGCCCTAAGCCTTCAACCCTCCCTGCGCTCAAGCTCCGACGCGGTGAAGGGGCGCCTAGTACGGTTTAGGGTTTAGGGTTTAAGGTTTAGGGGTTAGGGGTTAGGGGTTTGGGTTTAAACGGCTTTGGGCTTTAGGGTTTAAGGTTTGAGGGTCCAGCATGTTCATGTTCCACATTCATCTTCGGTGAGGCAGTGGCCCTGGGCACAGGTGGTGTGCTGGTTTCTCAGGGGGCGCGGAGCCAAGAACGGCTTGACCGACCACTGAACCCAAAACGCTAAACCTTAAATGCTTATGCCCTAGCTGGAGGGGTTTCGGGTTTCGGGTTAAGGGTATAGGGGCTTTTGGCTTTGTGGGGCCCGTGAAGAGTTTGTGTGTTTAGGGTCTGGATGTTTAGGTTGGATTTCGTGTTCTTGGCACACGGCTACGGAGGAAAAGCTGTCCTGAACCCTAAATCTCTCTTTTCTGGCAGACCCAACCCCAACCATGGGTCCAGTGCCCTAGTATGCGCCCTCAGACGGGGACCCCTTAGATACCCCGTCAACACCCAAAACACAAGGGCCCATACATCAGAACCCTTAAAGGGGGTCGGAGGTAAGGGACCAGCAAGGGCCCATGCAACTGCCCGTAGTTACCCGCAACGCGACTCGTCATGCAAACTCGTGCCATCACGTGACACAGGGCCATAAGCCCGTCACCCCTAGCACCAGGACATCCACTGGTTTAGGGTTTGGGGTTCAGGGTTTGGGTTTAGGGTTTAGGGTTTAGGGTTTAGGGTTTAGGGTTTAGGGTTTAGGGTTTAGGGTTTAGGGTTTAGGGTTTAGGGTTTAGGGTTTAGGGTTTAGGGTTTAGGGTTTCATGTTTAGGGTTTAGGATGGGTTTGCCTGTCGCTCGGGCCGCGGCTGCAGTTGCCCAGCAACTCACGTTCCCTGCATTGGGGCTAGCCGGTGAGGTTCCGGGAGTTCTGGGTCGACGCTTTCTTGCATCTTAACCCTAAACCCTAAGCCCTAAGCCCTGAGCCCTAAACCCTATAAACCCTATAAACCCTATAAACCCTATAAACCCTATAAACCCTATAAACCCTATAAACCCTATAAACCCTATAAACCCTAAACCCTAAACCCTAAACCCTAAACCCTAAACCCTAAACCCTAAACCCTAGCCCGCAAGCATTGATTGATGACCGGCAAAGCCACCTGCCTGCCTTCCCACCCGAGGCGATCACCCCCGAGCAGCTCACTGCGCGCCGGTCCTGGCAGGGTTTGTGGGGTGGTTCGACTTCGGCTTCAGGGAGGTTTAGGGTTTAGGGTTTGGGTTTGGGGTTTAGGGCTTGGGGTTTAGGGTTTTGAGGCTTTTGGGGTCAACAGTACACGCTTTATAGTTAATTTAGGGTCAATGATTGAGAAGTACGCATCCTGACTCAGGGAGCCTTAGGCCAGGGGTGGAGGCACAAGTTTTTTTGGTTCAGTGTTCACCTAGACCTCCAGGGGCACATAAGGCCTGCGCCTTCCCTCGCGCAGCATGTAGGGAAGCTCAGATCGCCCCAACCTTGACCGGGTCTAACCAGTGAGGGTTTAGGGTTGAGGGTTAAGGGTTTAGGGCTTAGGGTTAGGGTTTAGGGTTTAGGGTTTATGGCATCTTCCAGCACGGACGTGAAATCCACCTTGCGGCCGCTGCGTAGGTTGGATCGGGAGGCGGCCGCAGCAGCAGCCACGGGCCAGGCGGCGGTTCCAGCGCGAGTGCTTCAGCAGGCTGCTAATGGCGGCTACATCTTCACGTTTGGCCAGTTCAAAGGCATTTCGCATGTGGTCCGTCGTGACCATCCCAAGTACGTGGACTGGCTCTTGGCGAATCCTCTCTGTCTGGCACACCGGCCAGACTTATGCCGTGCCTTGCGATCGGCAGGCCGGGATGTAGACACGGCCCTGAAGCGTTTGCCTCCACAGACAGAGCCGAGGACGGCGCAAGAGTTGTACATATAATGTATAAATGTATGTGTATATATTTTTTTTGTTATACTGATACTGTTGTGGATCGGCATTTACGGTATTAGAGGGTTTTAGGGTTAATTAGGGGGTTGCTTTTGTGCAGTTTCCCCCCCCCAACCCCCCACCCAACCCCCCCCAAAAACCCCCCCCCCCCCCCCCCCCCGCCCCCCCAAAAATCCAGAAAACCCCCCCCCCCCCCCCCCCCCTCTTTTTTGGGTCCCTTTCTAAAGGGTGCCGCCTTATGACGTGACGGGCACCCAAACAAGGATCCCAATCTAGGAAACTGCCCATATGTTGTCGGGTAACCCTTTCCTGCCAAGATGTTTTCTGTCCCCAAACCCTAAACCCTATGTAAACCCTGACCCTAAGCCCTAAACCCTAAACCCTGAACTCGCATCCTACACCCCTATGTTGTCTCAGGTTTGGGGGTTTTAGGCTTTGGGTGTAGAGGAAGCCCACGACCTCCGCTTAAACCCAGAACTGCCATGACTACGTGTTGTTTGGTGTTCATGATATTAGTCTTCTTCTTCTTCTTATTCTTCTTCTTCTTCGTTTTCATCATTTTCATCATCCTCATCATACATGCCGCAGTATCATTATTATTCTTCTACTTCTTCTTCTTCTTCTTCTAATTTGTCTTGTGCTTTCTTGGGTACCCTGCAGAAACAGCCAGTGGAGATGCCACCCTCTGTTCTGCTTTGGCGTTTGGCGTGCTCATCTGTCGTGTGTGAACCAGGACGGGCAACTGGGCCCTATAATCCCCAGAATCAACCCTATAAAGGGCCCTTTTAAGGGGTTATAGGGTCTAATAGCTCGTCCTGGAATGCCGCTGCAGTTTCAGAGCGGATGCAGGATCCGCTTCATCCCCGCCACATCTCTGCACCTGAAGCCAAACCCTGAAAACCCTAAACCCGAGATCCAAAATCCTGAGTAATCCCTGAGCCCCAACAAATCCTAAACCCAAGCCCTACATCCCTAAAAGTCCGCACTCCCAGATCCCAAGCCCTAAACCCTAAACCCTAAACCCTAAAAAGCTTCAAAACCCACTTCCGAAGCCGGTACAGTGGTTGACGGTACTGCGTTCGCCTCTTTGGGCTACGTACCCGACATCAATACATCCCAACGCCTAAAACCCCCAAAAATGAGAGTTGCCGGCTCGAGAGAGCATCTGACTCGAGAGTCTCCATATTTCCCAGAATGACTCTTGAATAAGCCCTGAACTCAGACCCTGAAACCTAAAATAACTCTTAATAACAAGCCCTGAATCAGACCCTAAACCCTAAAATAACTCTTGAATAAGCCCTGAATCAGACCCTAAACCCTAAATCCTGAACCCACTTAATCTGAAGTTGCGCACCAAGATCTATGCTCTACGTTGACAACGTTGTTGGCTCATCGCTGGTTGTCGGCGGGCAGTACAGGCCGGCAGAGTCATCGGCACATAATGCTGTGGGAGTGCGGGAGTGAGTGCAGGCACTGCTCTACTGGGTCCTGAAGACTCAAAATAGGGATCCCAAACTCCAAACCCCAAACCCAAAAACCAAGCCCTTGACCCGAAGTGTTGAACTCCTACCTTCGGGATCAGAATCTCAGGGGCTGGTTTCTTGAAAGTCCAAGAGAACCTCACCTGGATCTCCAATCGGTAGCGGTTTGGAGTTTAGGCTTCAGGGTCTTGGTGCGCGATTGTGTGTTGCTCTAGGATCCAGAGTAGGCCCGTATCCCTTTTTTAGGGTTTAGGTTCCCTTCCAAGCCTTTTTCGAAACCCTAAACCCTAAAACCCTAAACCCTAATCAGCCCCCTGAAACCAAAAGGGCGCCCCCTTTTAATCCCAGGTTACTCTTGAGGCTCGTAGAGATTGCTGGAGAAGAAATGTAGTACCGGAGTTGAGGCTCCTTAATGCCGGCACCTTCTGAAATGTCTAAGTCGAATCAAAAACCACCCTAAACCCTAAACCCTAAACCCTAAACCCTAAACCCTAGACCCTAGACCCTAAACCCTAAACCCTAAACCCTAAACCCTGTATTCGAAGAAACCACCCAAAGCCCAGCTTCCAAACTTAGGCTGTTGCAAGTTAGCTCGGGCAAGATCTCCTTATAAATCCCCTAAATTTAGATCCTGTTTGCGCAATTCTTTTGAACTCCCGAGTAGGATAAAGCCCTAAACCTCAGCCAAGCCCCTAAACGAAGCGCAGGCCTTGGCGTTACAAGGCTAGCACCCAGAGTCGGCCCTCATTCCCTTTTGGGTTTAGGGTTTAGGGTTTAGGGTTTAGGGTTTAGGGTTTAGGGTTTAGGGTTTAGGTTTAGGGTTTAGGGTTTAGGATTTAGGGTTGATAAGCCCCTTTAGCCCTAAACCGTATACTAGGACCCAGAGTAGGCCCTTTTTCCCTTTTTGCTTTTAAGCCAAGAAGGGGGGCACCCTCTGTTTTATTCCTAGCCTATACTGTTGGGTCACCCTAAACCCTAAACCCTAAACCCCAAAAGTATACTCTTGGGTCCAGAAAGTGCAACCGTAGCCCCACAGTGGTGCCAGGCAGCTCATGCAGGCCATAGGGTCTTCTCGGAAGGCCTGCGGCTTCGTTGGGTTTAGGGTTTGGGGTTTAGGGTTTGGGGTTTAGGCTTTAAGGTTTCGGGTTATGGGTTTAGGGTTTGGGGTCTGGGGTCTGGGGTTGGGGTTTAGGGTTTGGGGGTTGGGGGTGTAGGGTTTGGGGTTTGGTGTTTTTGGTTTAGGGTTTGGGATTTGGGGTCAGGGCATATGGGGTTGCATACAGCAGAGTAGTCTGTATGTGTCAGCCAACGATGAAGGCACATATTCAGCGAAGGTTTGGAGTTTAGGTAGGGTTACGGGCTAGTGCTTCGGGTTTAGGGCTATGTGCAAGGTCACCTGAGGACCAAACCGTTTTTATGGGCCATGGGCCCGAGTCGCCAGCTTGCCGTTCAAGTTTGCATGTTTATGGGGTCCTCAAATCCACGCCAGCGTGTGAGAGTATACTTCGCAACTCGACGGGGCATGTCGCGTAAATGCTGTCCAGGACGAAAGTTTTGAAGGTTAGACTCACGCCTCCCATTAGGCTGGCGCGCTGGCCTTAATAGGGATTTGGGACACGAGAGTTTGTTCAACTGACACGAAAAAGCCCGGTCCGACCTGGATGTGTATGCTGTTTGCACAGGACTATCAGGGCTGTGGCAAGGCAAAGCCCAAAGCCTCACTTGGAGGTTCATGGTTATAACTGTACTTGTAATCCATATTGGGGCACTTAAGGGGCTGAAAAGTGGGTAATAAAGTGCAGGTAAAATTGGTTGTAATAAGCACCTCCCAAACCCTAAGTCCTAAACCCTAAACCCTAAAGTAGTTGTCAAGTTGGTACCGAAGAGGTCTTCGAGTATGCCGAGATGCCCCCGTCTCCTTCCATGGTGGCTACGCCGAAGCGCCCTCCTCAGACAGGGTGAGGTGTAAGGGCTGTCGTTTCCGACCCTCAACCCTAAGCCTAAGCAACCTAAACCCTAAACCCTAAACCCCAAGCCCTAAACCCTAAACCCTAAACCCTAAACCCTAAACCCCAAGCCCTAAACCCTAAACCTTAAACCAGGTAGCAAGGCATCCTTCCCTCACATGCGTATAACCCACTGTCCTGTAGGTAATAAAGAGAGTCCCTAACCCTAAACCCTAAACCCTAAACCCTAAACCCTAAACCCTAAACCCTAATCCCGGGGAAGCCCTGTGGCCGAGGACCTCTTATCAGGTGGTCCCCCTGGCGGAGCTGCGTGGCTCCGTTTCCTTCCGTGTGGCCCCCAGGCCGATCCTCCTATCGGGGTCTCTACCGGGGACTCTCTTTACCAACAGTTTTGTGGGTTATACCTACTATATAAGGGGTAACAATTCGTAAACTGTAGGTAAATAGAGTCCCAGGTAGCTGATATGACCCAACTTGAACGGCGTTGTTTTGGCTTCTGTGCGGCTTCATAGAAGACAGGAGTATTGACAGTCCGCAGCAGAGGGTTCGCATAGCCAGGCTGCAAGAGTCATTGCCATGACTCATGGCCGCGTAGTAGGTTCCGCTGACGATGGTTTCAGGCTTCGCGCCCGGGCCCGCATGAGCAATCACTTCCGAGTCACACAGTCCGTGCACCCTCCCGGTCCTGGCACTTCTGAAGCAGATGTAAAGCTTAACCCCTACCTGGGGCTCTCTTTTCCTACGGTGTTGCGGGTTTATACCTGCTCATTCAGGGTAGCGAATCGTAAACTGTAGGTACAAAGAGTCCCAGGTAGACCCTAACCCTAAGGGCTATACCTTCTAGTTAAGGATATTACTATCGTTGGGGTTGGTTTAGGGTTTAGGATTACCTACGAATTAAAGATTACAATAGTTAGGGTTTAGGGTTTAGGGTTTAGGATTTAGGGTTTAGGGGTACTAATTCAGGGGTTGTTCATAGTAAACTGTAGGTAAATGGAGTCCCAGGTAAACCCGAAAGCCCGACCCTGGGATCCGTTTGGCGATCTGAGGTAACGTCACCTTCGCCTACGCCGCGCGCAAAGACGTGCCGGTGCTGCGAGGCGATTGGGGCATTTCCCCAAAGTAGGGGTTTGGGGTTTAGGGTTTAGGGTTTAGGGGTAAATAGTGGTACCCTATTTGGGGTTCCTAGAATGAGGATTCTACTATTTTGGGGGTATATTCAGGGCACCCCCCTATGTTTGGACATGCCCGTAGGAAGTGTCCTTGAAGGGCTTAGGGTTTAGGATTTCGGTTACTTGTAAGTAGTGAAAGAAGTGCCCTAAATATGATGTTAGAACCATTGTGACCCTACTTATATCCCTACTTGTATAGTGCCCATATGAACCTCCAAGTACAGTTGATAGGTTAATCCTTTCGGGCTTGCGGGGTTTGAGTTTAGGGTCTCATGTCATAGGGTCCGCTTCAGAATCATTCGCATTCGTTTTTTTTGCCAGCTCCGCCCCTATTTGCAGGGCCTCAGACTTGAGTCGAATTGGTTCTGCCTTTCATGACTTCATATCTAGGGTTTGAGGCTTTTCGAAACCTGAAGGTTATTGAAGAATCGCGTTCATGGGTGTCGAGTTGGTGCAGCAGTTGGATGAGGACAGCGCAAAAAGCGTGCGAAAACGCTAAAGGCTGACGACGGCAAGAAGGACAGCGACGTGGTCACTGTCAGTGTCAATACGGATCCGCTTGAGGCCAGCTGAAAGAGGCACGGCCGACAGGGTTTAGGGTTTATAGCTTTAGGGTTTAGGCTTTGCGGGTCTCTCGGTCGAGATGGCCGCAGCCGATTCGGCCTCCACTTTGCCAGGCCTGTATCGGACAGAGTTTGGGGTTTCGGAGGCTATGCCGCAAACCCGGGTCCACGCTTCAGGCTGCATCTCCTAAAACCCTGAAGGTTACGAGATACTTAGACCGTCAAAACCCTACCTCGAGTTGCCTGCATGAAAGTTTTGAACGCTCTCTTCGGCGGTATATGCTCTGTCTCCAAGGAAACCGGGTTTGGGGGTGACCCTAAACCCTAAACCCTAAACCCTAAACCCTAAGCCCTAAACCCTAAACCCTAAACCCTAAACCGCCCTAAACCCTAAACCCTAAACCCTAAACCCTAAACCCTAAACCCTGGTCAGGAATCGACCTGGATGTGCCCCCTGGGCAGACAACTGCACTGGCTCGCCGGGGGGGGAGATGGGGCGAGGGACGGGTTTAGGGTTTAGGGTTTAGGGTTTAGGGTTTAGGGTTTAGGGTTTAGGGTTTAGGGGTTTAGGGGTTTAGGGGTTTAGGGGTTTAGGGGTTAAGGGATTAGGTGTTGGGAGCAGGTTCATTGCGCATTGTGCGAACAACTTCTCCCGAAAACAGCGCTCGCTCTATGAATGTTGATGTCCACGCTCGTCACACGGGGGACTTGAATGAACATTAGGGACACTAGGGCTGTGGAGTGTGAGGGGTGTGAAGTTGCAGTGAAGTTGCGATGACAGTAGCTTCGAGGTAGGGGAGAGTCAACAGGGTCAACTGAGTCAAAAGAGTCAACTGAGTCAGCTTGCAAGTTCAAAATTCGAAAGATTCTTGGGCCCATATGGGCCGAGGATCCTAGACCCTAAGCCAGGCCTTAATGATTCGACGAATGTCGAATAGGGTTTTGGGGGATAGCATAGTGTATACTTCTAGAGGGACCATGAGGGGATACTATTCATAACTATTCCGACCCTTGTAACCCTAAACCCCAAACCCTAAGACCCTATCAACATTAAACCCTACTAGTAGTAACCGTAACCTTACAGGCCCCTAAGCCCAGAAGCCGTGAAGCTGAACCTCGTAAACCCAAAGTCCATCCTAAAAGACCCTAAACCCTAAACCCTAAACCCTAAACCAGGGCCCTAATAGTCAGGTTACCAGAACCCTTAAGGACGCAATTCTTAGGATCCTGGCAGTGTAGGGATCTAGACCCTAAACCCTAGAACCTGCGATTGGAAGGTGGGACCTTCCGGTAGCGGAAAGAGCACCGTAGCAGCCCTGCTCCAGCGCGGGGCTTGTCGTGGCTTCGCATTTCTGGATCGACCCAGGTCTCCGATTGCGGGCTTCCCTTTTTGCTAAAGAAGACCTGGGACTCCTATTTTCCTACAGTTCAAGTAGTAGTAACTACCCTTAATAGGTAGGAAGACCTGTATAACTAACCCATAAAAGTGTAGGTAAAGAGTGTCCCAGGTACCTGCAAATCAGTTGTTCATGGTAGTTTAGCGTAGATGTTCGGAGCTTCAAAGAGACGTTGAGGGGTCAGGGTGTTCAGTGGCTCTTGCTCTTTGGGAGCCGCGCGCCCAATTTCTTTGCAATTTCAATGTAGGATTCAGGGTTTAGGGCTACGGAGTTCCATGGTCCAGGACTTGCGTGCCTTGGGCATCCCATAATCCGCCGCCTCCCTCCCCTTCCAATGCTCTGCAGCGTCCAAGGCCTCGGAATTCTAGTTCCTTGACTTTGGGCACCCAATATTCTCACAATGTTTTCGTGCCTGTGGCCCTACAATCCCTAAATACCCTGAACCACCCAAATGGCAACTGCAAGTACTCTTTATCCACTACAAGTACTTGCAGTCTCTGACACCCTATATCCGAAACCCTAAATCCTAAATCCTACACCCCTACCCCTTTGGGCGAGATATCGAGTTTGGCAGCCGGAGGCGCTGGTACGAGCCAAACTCCGGCACGATCTCGCTAGATGGCCGCAGCCCTACCTGGTTTCCCTGAAGGCTCCCATGTGGTTCCTTTTCGGGGGTAGTTATCGGAGGTTCTAGTCTGCTACCCCAAGACTGGTACTAGGTAGGGTTCAGTGTTGAGGGTTTGGGGTTTCGTGTTTGGGGTGTGGTTTTTGTTGTTGGTGAAGGGCCGGGTGGAGATCCGATTCCTAAACCCACTTGTAATTATTTGACCCTGGACAAAGGGTCCGGCGTCATCTAGTGTCAACCCATCTGTCCGGGATTACTCCCTAGCAACTGTTGCTGTACTGTATTCTATGATGGTAATCAGTCTGGTCCCCCGAGTGGCGATATTTTCCGAAGTTGTTGAGCGGGATCTCACTGACATGATTTCAAAGAGCGGTGCTGTGGTCGAGTGATCCAGAAATTTGCCGAGGTAGTCATCTAACCCTCAAACGCAACCCGGAGTCTTGACAGTAGCTCCCAGAGACCCCTCCCCCCGCCCCCCCGACTTTTCCGAGATACCTAGTTGTTGCAGGGGGCGGGGTATCCGAATCAGCATTCAACATGACTCCCCAGATAACAATATTGTTCCTGTAGTGCCCTTTACTGTAATCTCCGCCACCCACCCGGATATTCAATCACATTCTAGACCTGGAGGGTAGCTACACGCTACATGCTACATTGTCGCTGAGAACTGTTGTACTATGCATATACATATAGATGACAGGTTGGGATGTTCCCCCCTTGTACTAACAGCCCTTAATCGGGATTCTAGTACCCCCTCTCATAATTAATCCCTATTCAGGCCTGGTAGTACAAGGGGGAACAGCCCAAAAAGCCGGGCTTCAGGTGTGGGGTATATTGAGCCCCGACACGACTGTTACAAACAGCAAAGCTTTGCCCCTTCATCCAAGCATCCCTATCATCGACCCGTAGCCCTCCTCTTAGGGTAGTTCCATGATCCCTTAGTATGGGGCCCTTCAAGAGGGGATCCCTCCTATATACCCCTTATATACCCTATAAAACCCAAGGGCCCATACTTCAGAGCCCTTTACAGGAGGTAAGGGACCATATTTGGGACCATGTAGCTACCCTAAACCCCAAACCCTAAACCCCAAACCCGAAACCCCAAACCCCAAACCCTAAACCCCAAACCCTAAACCCCAAACCCTAAACCCTAAACCCTAAACCCTAAACGGGCCCGTAGTAAGGATCTCCGCGTGGGGCCAAGGTCGTCCCATCGACGAACTTGACCCACGCTGGTTTCGCTCGCTGTTTGGCGTCCGCTCTCCCAGCCATCACATGAAGCAGGGTTTAGGGGTTTAGGGTTTAGGGTTTAGGGTTTAATTAGGGTTTAGGGTTTAGAAATTAGGGTTTAGGGTTTAGGGGTTAAGGTTTAGGGTTTAGGGTTTATATTACTGTTTTTGCTGACTGTGCATGAGGTTCCTGTTTAATATTGGTGAGTGTATATACTTGGTGTCCTTTTGGGGGGTACAAGAAATATGTGTGATTCACGACCTCGAGTCCGCAGTACAAGAAATATATACGCTACTTCATATGGGTGTTGATGAAATGATGGTCCCTTTCGGGCACCATATCTATGTTTTTGTCTATAGAGAGGGATAGGCAATTGTCCATATCACCACAGCTACATTTACTATAGCCAAGACATTCAGTGAACTCTTGCCGCGTGCGGTGGCATCGCATCCAAAACACCCCCTTAGCACGCAGCCCTCAGCGCAGACAGAATCTTGGACCAGCAAGTTCAGTTCTAGGTAGGCCCTTGGGATATTTTATATTTTCCCCTTTTTTGGGTTTAAGAGGATCAGATTTAGGAATATATTTTTCAGAGAGTTTTAAGGGCCAGCCAAGAGTTCGATTGTTTGAGTGTACTTAAAAGTTTGCTCTTTTCAGTAGAGCCACAGGCTGTTGTAGTATCGCTAGAAACCATCGAACATCTGGGGGCTTACTGGTTTTTATCCAGGGTGAAGATGGGAAGCCCTATGTGATCCCTGAAATACCATCTCTCAACCCTACACCCGCCTAACCCTATAGACCCTAAACCCTAAACCCCAAACCCCAAACCCTAAACCCTAAACCCTAAGCCCTACGCCCTAAGTGCTCTGGACCCTATAGATCAAGAGGTCGTCCCACAGGAGCCACGACTCTTTTCCGCCACGGTCTGGGAGAACATCGCTGGGGCCTTGCGAGCTTTCCCGGCTGGGTTTAGGGTTTAGGGTTTAGGGTTTAGGGTTTAGGGTTTAGGGTTTAGGGTTTAGGGTTTAGGGTGGGGCTTGAACCTGGGACTCTCTTTGCCTACAGTTGCAGCTACCCTTGAAGAGTAGGTATAACCGTGTGTGCGCGTGTGCGTATGTGTGTGTGGGGGTTAGTTTAGGACTGCCTAACCCCTAAACTCATAACGCGCTTTGTTCTTGCTTTGGGCTTGTGGTCTCTACAACCTCCACAAGTATCCTTGGCCGCCTACGCTCGGGAATGCTCCATGGCCTGAATGCTGAGACATCATGCCCTGTGGCGGGTTTAGGGTTTCGGGTTCAGGCTTCAGGGCTTCAAGCCCTAAACCTTGGTGCTAGGGTTTAGGGCAATGATCGTGGGTGCTTGCCAGGGGTTGCAAGTACCTGAAATCAGGTTCGAACCATAGCTACCCCTGCTTCTAATCCTACTGTTGAGTGAATATCCTTCAAGCCCCAAGTATACATGTAACTCTGGGCTGTAACGTACAGGTCCCTAAACCCTAAACCCTAAACTCTAAACCCCAAACCCTAAACCCCAACAAAATGCAGAGAAGGCATGCGTAGGCAGGTCTTTGGGCAGAAGTCCCTGAAAAGCAGAGTCCTTAGAGCCTTTGGGTTGAGTGCATAGGGTTCGTTGGAACCCTAAACCCTAAACCCTAAACCCCAAACCCTAACCCCAAACCCCAAACCCCAAACCCTAAACCCCAAACCCTAAACCACAGACCCTCATCCCTATAGGCCCTAAACCCTAATCCCTAGGCCCTAAACCCTAAACCCCAAACCCTAAACCCTAATCCCTAGGCCCTAAACCCTAAACCCCAAACCCCAAACCCTAATCCCTATAGGCCCTAAACCCCAAACCCTAAACCCCTAGGCCCTAAACCCTAAACCCTAAACCCTAAACCCCAAACCCCAAACCCCAAACCCCAAACCCCAAACCCCTTTGGGAGTTTTGAGGCTCTGGGACTGGGTGGCGTCTTGTTCGCGGCAAACAGCTCCGAGCAAGCGCTGCTTGGAGACGGCCGGGTACATGGGTTCAGGGTTCAGGGTTCAGGGTTTAGGGTTTAGGGTTCAGGGTTTAGGGTTTAGGGTTCAGGGTTCAGGGTTCAGGGTTCAGGGTTCAGGGTTCAGGGTTTAGGGTTTAGGGTTTAGGGTTCAGGGTGTAGAGTGTAGGGTGTTCGGGCTCAAGTTGAGGGTTGAAGGGCTTAGTAGGGCCAGGGTTGTAGGATTTAGGGTTTAGGGTTTAGGGTTTAGGGTTGTAGGGTTCAATTAGGGTCTCAGGGTTCCGGAGACGAAAGACTGAAGCACCAAACGGTGGTTTCAATAGGTCCTACGCCCTAAACCCTAAACCCTAAACCCTAAAGCCTAAACCCTAAACCCTAAACCCTAAACCCTAAACCCTAAACCCTACGAAGCACCCTGAGCCGTGCAACATACCCCAATCTCTCGTTACCTTCGGGCAGAGAGGTTCATATGCCAGTACCCTTTACCTTGGAGCCCTGTACTCGAAACGCTAATCCCTTCACCCGCTGCTCCGAGGAGCGTCAAGTCTTCTTCTAGAAGTGCTCGAGGGTTTCATTTTCAGATTTGAGGGTTTAGGGTTTAGGGTTTGTGACTTATGTTCTTGGGTTCAGTGTTTAGTGTTAGGGGTTTAGGGTCGAGGGCTGAGGGGTCAAAGTTCAGAGTTTCGGAGCATCTGATATTGTTCTATGCCATATGGGGTGAGATATGTTTCCCCATAGCCAGTAGTGGCAGAATGTTCAAGGGCCGAGGTGCTTGCGAGGAGGGCCCCGCCCCCCCCCCCGAAGGCATAAGTGGATCTGTAAGGGACGTTAGACTAGCTCTAGGTTACACGTACTCAAGTTCAAGTAATACTGAAAATTCTCCAAATCTTAAACCCTGAACCCTAAAGCCCAAACCCCAAACCACAAACCCTAAACCCTAAACCCTAAACCCTAGACCCTACAGTTAGTATCCTAGGCCCCTCCTTGCAGGCCTGGGTGCCGAGCGCATGGATGAAGAGACGGTAGACCGGCTAGTGCGCGCGTGCCTCAGACTGGTGCTGAGTACCCCTTACAATCGAGGACCCGTTTAGGGTTTAGGGTTTAGGGTGTAGGGTTTAGGGTTGAGGGTTCAGGGTTCAGGGTTGAGGGTTGCGGGTTCAGGGTTGAGGGTTGAGGGTTTTGGATGGCTGGTGGTGCTCTCATTCACTTTGCGCGGGATTATAAAAGTCCCTCCAAGCTAACAAAGGGGCATCATCTTGGGCCTCGAACTTAAGACATTCACCCGACACTGCACTAGGGAACTGGGCCCAGGATTACCTGGACCCCCAAAGTATGTAAAACAACAGCCCCGAATCCCTAGACGGGCCAGTATATATTCTGGGGGTTTCGGTTAGGGTTGACGGTTTACGGGAAGTACGGGGAATTGAGGGTCTTTTCCTTACATCTGGGGAATTTGGCCCGCGGGGCTACATCTGGCCTGTTTCGCCCCAGCAATTCCACCTAATTCGGTGCCAACGGGCCTTAGTGCTCACTAGGGTTTTAGGGGCACTTCGGTACCTACCCTAAACCCGAATAAGACTATTTCGAGTGGAGGCCCAGCGATTGAGGTGTAGCCATGGAGGGTTTGGAGTTTGCAACAAACCTCAACTGCACCATATCATCCCACGGTCTGCCGATTTCAGGGCTTCGGGTTGAGGATTTCGAGGTCAGGGGTTGATGGTTGGGGGTTTCAGGGTTTGATTCAGAGCAGTCGAGTTGATGGATTAGGGTTTTACTGTGTACTGTTCAGTGCTGACTTCAGTAGTCCTAAACTGGAGGGGTCCATACAGGGAGGGTCGAACAAAGGGGCTCTGTAAAACTTCGTTGCGCAACACCCCATGCTGTCTAAATCCGAAGCCCTAAGCCCTCGTAAGAGCTGTTGCTGTGTCTACAGGACTACCTTAAACCTTAAACCCTAAACCCTCTACAAGGTTTAGTGAGGGTTCTCCTTCGCCTCACCACCAGCGCCTGCCTCGCAGCTTTTTTTGGCTTGTGTTCCCAGCGACGGCGTCGCAGCCCTTCTGCGGAGCTGTCTGAAGCGTTCGGAAGGATGGGGTGCCTTGGCTTAGGGTTTAGGGTTTAGGGTTTAGGGTTTAGGGTTTAGGGTTTAGGGTTTAGGGTTTAGGGTTTGGGGTTTAAGGTTTAGGGTTTAGGGTTTAGGGTTTAGGGTTTAGGGTTTAGGGTTTAGGGTTTAGGGTTTAGGGTTTAGGGCCATGAGCCGCTGATTTCGAGTTTAGGGTTGAGGGTCTGGGCTTCCAGTTGCAACGATCATTGGTCAAAGAAGCGACGACATCCCTGAACCTTATTGGTTCTTAGTAGGAACTATGCAAGCCCTTCAAGGCTTCAAGGGTTAAGAAAGGGGGATCCTGCCCTCGTAATTCCCTACTAAGAACCAGTAAGGAATTGATGACCCGAAGCCCTAAACCCTAAACCCTAAACCCTAAACCCTTAACCCTTAACCCTTAACCCTTAACCCTTAAACCCTAAACCCTAAACCCTAAACCTAAACCCTAAACCCTATACCAGGGTTGTCGCTGAGGTGTGGTGCCAGCGCAGGCTCAGTCCAATCCTTCAGCACTGACGCAGCACTCAGCCTGGTACCCCTGGCACAGGCTGGGTTTGGAGCTTTGGGTTTAGGGTTTAGGGTTTAGGGTTTAGGGTTTAGGGTTTAGGGTTTAGGGTTCTATGATCCTTTTCTATTTGCATATAACCCGAAGGAGTGTCGTTTCATTATTCGTTTTATTTCGGAGTTATACTTTGTTGTCATTATCATCATTATCAACTTCCCTACAGTATCATACATGAATATGTCATATGTACATGTATATATATATATATACATACATACATACATGCATACATGCATACATGCATACATGCCTACATGCATACATGCCTACATGCCTACATGCCTACATGCGTACATGCATACATGCATACATGCATACATGCATACATGCATACATGCATACATGCATACATGCATACATACATACATACATACATACATATGTATATGTGACACAGACCTGCCATGCGTGGAGGGTCTGAGGTGTAGACACATCCAATTTCGACCTGCAGGCTTCCAGGTTGGGGCCTCAGGGTTCAGGGTTCAGGGTTCAGGGTTTAGGGTTTAGGGTGTCTCAATTAGTGGGCGCGCCGGTGCTCAAAGCACCCACGCCCCGACCTGCATAAGCCCCCCCCCCCCCCGGCTGGCCCTCCACCCTCGCCTGTACGGGTTTAGGGTTCTTTCGAACTCTGATCGGACTTTTGTTTTTTTTTCTCTGGTGGTTGGGTCTAGAAGCTCGGCATCGATGCAAATCAATTACCCTTAAGTTCACAGCCCCTTGGCATTGCAAGGGAGATGTCCATCATGCGCGGGCTTCTGGGAGGGCCAAGAAGTCAGAGGTTTGGGATGGGGCTCAGAGGTTTGGGATGGGGGGTTGCTGCCGCCTTCGCCCTTGCTGATCTTGATTCTACCCTGACCCGTTATGGGTGCCCTGGCCAGGGTCCCTCCTACGACCACAGCGGGGGCGGGTCTTCCCCAACAAGCGTTGAAGCCTCCCAGACAAGGCAGTGAAGGGGCAGGGGTGGCAGGGGTCGGGTCCCAGCCACTTCGACTGCCTTGGGGCCTCTGGTCCACGAAACACGACCATGGCCGGAGGTAGGGCTGCGGGAGGGATAGGAGCTTTTCGGAGTCTCCTGTCCCAGCGGGGGAACTCTGGCCTGTACAACCTTAACCCCAACTCCCAGGCCGTGAACCTGAGCTGCCCCTACCGAAACCCTAAACCCTAAACCCCTAATTAAACCCCTAAACCCCTAAACCCATAAACCCATAAACCCCTAAACCCCTAAACCCCTAAACCCTTACACCCTAAACCCTCAGCAGGTACATCTCCGCAGCAAGTCGTCACTGGGAACAAAGGCTTCCAGAAGCACTGAGCCCGCCAAGCCCAAGAGGGCCATGGTGGCCGCTGGGCTGCAATTTCAACCTGGAGTATGTCGCGCACAACTTGTAGGGTTTAGGGTCTAGGGTTTGTAGACTTTACGGTTTAGGGTTTGGTGTGTACACACATATATATATATATATATAGTTTTATTTATTTATTTTCTTGTTTATGTATTTCTTTTTCTATTTATCTAACTATTTATTTTGATGGATTGATTTATGTATTTATACATTTATCTATGCATATATATATATATATGTATATATATATATATATATATGCTCCCCCCCCGGCTGCGCCATGCTTCTTGGCCTTAGCTCTGATGTCTTGAGTCTAGGTTGTGGCTTGGGAGTTCCCGAACGACCTGCAAGCAGATGTGTTGGGTACGGCGCTGGAGTCCGTGGACAGCAGAGAGTGAAGGTGCTGCCAACCCAGTTCATGTCATTCCCACAGGTGCCTAGCCGCGCTCGTGCACATGCGCGCATCGACGTCGGCTCTTCCCGGCATGTCATAGGATGCCGCCGAGTGAGAAAAGCCCGTCGATTTTCCCGTGCTGTCCTGCTCGCTTGTCCTTGCCTGTCAGGTAAAACCTGTCGGCAATCTACCTGCTGCAGTCTGCTGCATCCTTTCCAACAATATTTTAATGATCCACCGTCCGTGTCCATTCGGCTTTATTCATTTTCTCAACTTCATGATCAGAGCAGCGCCAACGTCGGTGCATCTGATGTGATTTCGTCTGACGGAACCAGGTGCGGGAGCGGACGGCATCGTTCAGGGTCTACAGAACTGCTGTGGTTTAGGGCTTGTAGGGTCTAAACCCTAAACCCTAAACCCTAAACCCTAAACCCTACTTGTTGCTGCTGTGCGCAAGCTTGCCATCGCCAAGAAGCAGTGGATGGCAGCCGCTCACCTGGCCCAGCTGGATTACGAAGCTGTGTGCTGTGGATGGCACCTTTAGGGTTAGGGTTTAGGGTTTAGGGTTTAGGGTTTAGGGTTTAGGGTTTTAAGGTTTAGGGGTCCTAGCTACGTTTGGACAACTTTCTAAATGGCTGAGTGAGTACACTTTACACTCTTTGGGATACTATAGTCCCCTGTAGAGCTGAAAGTGTACACATTTTTGGGGCTTATGAACTCATCAACTACAAGTAGGGGCCCCCATGTTATGAGTAGGGTTATAAAGGCCCTAAATTGAGTTATACGTCTTCCTATTTAAGTAAAAAACTCCCTCATGTAAAGTTAGCATAGGAAGTGGGCCCCTACTTGTAAGCTTTTGGCAGGTATAAAAGCCCCAGAGGGAGCTTCGATCCTCCCTCTGTACCCGATGAAGCTCCTGAGCCCTGTAAAGCGTTTAGGGTTTAGGGTTTAGGGTTCAGGGTTCAGGGTTTAGGGCTCAGGGTTCAGGCTTTAGGGTTTGGGGTTTAGGGTTCAGCGACTCCAAATAGCCCGAGTGCTCCGAACCCAAAACCCTATAGAGAGAAGTCCTGACTCGGGTTCAAGGTCTTGGAAGGTGGTTTTTTGTCTCCAAGGACAAGGCCAGAATTTTGGGATGGGGGTGTTTAGGGTTTAGGGTTTAGGGTATAGGAACCAAGAACGGGCATAAAAGGTTGTTCCAGAATTCGGGATCAAGGGATGCAGGCTTTCATTGAAGAACGCTAGAGGCAGTTGGAGCAGTTGCGCCGCCAAGGGATCTGCAAAGCGATCCCGTTTAAACTGGCAGTTTGCCAGGCCACAAGTAAAACACTGGCTTTTGGAGCTCCTGTAGCTGGACTTCTTAGGCCTAGGCGGCAGGGACCGCGAAAGAAGGCTTGTTCCCGACGTTGTAGGGCAGCTGGGTTTTTTGGGGACTCCCGGCTAAACCTGACGCCTGAAGCCCATGGGTTTAGGGTTTACGGTTTAGGGTTTAGGGTTTAGGGTTTAGGGTTTAGGGTTTGCAGCTGTGCAAATCAGCGGGGATCAAGCCTGCCTGCTTTATGATGGTGTCGCCTTCCATTTGTTGAAGGCAGCTGATGAGACCCGAAGCCCTGAAAGTTTAGGGTTTAGGGGTTTAGG